AACTCCTGAGCTCAAACAATCCGCCCGCCTCGGCCTCCCAGAGAGCTAGGATTACAGGCGTGAGCCACCGCGCCCAGCTGGGAGTGTCTCATTTCTATAAGAACAGGGGCTGGTATTATTACTTGCCCTACATCCCTAATAGGACCCAATACAGGGCTGGGTACTGAGTAGGTACTTATTAAGTCTTGGATAAATGACTGACTGAAGGACTAGAGACCTCAAACTTACAACTCCAACCCCTCTGGTTTTTCTATTAGATCAGCCTCTGATGACTAGGGATGCATTTTTTCCTTTCTCTTTGGTAGATTAGATATAAGTAATCAGGGAGAACTCACACATACATACTAAAACCATTGTGCCAGGTACACATAAAATAATATGATCATAGGTAATCCTCACAATTATTCTATGAGGTAGGAATATTTCCAAACCTTTCTCTCCCATTTTACAGACAAGGAACCTTAGGTCCAAAGGTCCAAAGGCTCTTTGGACCTAAGGTTCCTTATATACCCAATAAGGTATATATATATACCTTATTATATAATATATAATAAATTATATACCCAAGTTGAACCATAAATATGGTATGTTTCTAGGATTCTATAACTAATTCAGCTGGTTTGAATACAGTGCTGGAAAGGCTATGGTTTGGGATCTATGCACACTTAACCATTGCCCTTCGTTTTATGGAATGTCCCTCATCCTAGCCATTTACTCTCTATACTCATGGGAGACTTTCTTTAAAACAGAAGGTGGTCTTGGTAGAATCCATACTGAGGAAAACAGGGGGAATATAATCTCATGAGGAACCATGATTACTTCCTGGACATAATGAAAGGCACCATTTGTCAGACTCTTCACCCACATTTTCTCATTTAAATCTCATATAACTGTACTGAGATATATCATTATCTCCACTTTATAGATGAAGAAACTCAAGATTAAGGAAGTTAGCAACTCACTCAGGCATCAAAACCAGTTAACAGTGATTCAAACCCAGGACTCTCTGATTCCAAGGCTTGTGATCAACAATGGTTTCAAACGCTATCCCAGTCCATGTCAACTGCTTTCAGACAGTCTCAGGGGCCATGTCTGATTCTCATGTGTGCCCAGCATCAAAGCACACATATGCACAGAAAGGGTGCCTAGGAAACGTTTGCTTGAATCGAATTTAAACCTAAAGTATGTGTCGAAGCCCAAGTTACCAACATCGGTGTCATAAAAATCACACAGTCCCAGCTCATGGTCCTGCTCCAAGCCTCAGGACACTATGGAGTTAAAGGAAAGGAAGGGCATAAAGGTCTGGGGTCAGAGTTTTAGAAATCATTCAAGAGCCTTTGAGCAACTATCGTGAAGGAATACATCTCCTGTGCTGTGGAGAGCCTGAGGACAGCTAAAAGAAGAGTTTAGATGGCAGGTGAGAGGGGTGAGTTGGACATTTAGCTTTGGGACTCATCAGTGTATAAATGGAAGTCATGAAATTGTCCAGGGAGATTAGTAAGAAGTGAAGAAGGGAGGTCAAAAACAGATTCTGCTAGAGCCTGAAACCTTGGTCTTGCAGTTGGCATCTCTACTTCCCACAACCCAGAAGTTGTGATGCCTATTGACTTTACCTTCACCAAGTCTTTCACCCACACTAAAGCAAGAGCCACCACAAAATTGGCCCTGCTGGGCCGGGCGCGGTGGCTCACGCCTGTAATCCTAGCTCTCTGGGAGGCCGAGGCGGGCGGATTGTTTGAGCTCAGGAGTTCGAAACCAGCCTGAGCAAGAGCGAGACCCCGTCTCTGCTAAAAATAGAAAGAAATTAATTGGACAACTAAAAATATATAGAAAAAATTAGCCGGGCATGGTGGCACATGCCTGTAGTCCCAGCTAGTCGGGAGGCTGAGGCAGGAGGATCACTTGAGCCCAGGATTTTGAGGTTGCTGTGAGCTAGGCTGACGCCACGGCACTCACCCTAGCCTGGGCAAAAGAGTGAGACTGTGTCTCAAAAAAAAAAAAAAAACAGTTTGGTACTGGCATAAAGACAAACAAACCAATGGAAAAGAACAAGGAGTTCAGAAATTAACCCTCACATATATGGTTAAATTATCTCTGAAAAGAATGCAAGACCACTCAACGAGGAAAGAACAGTGTCTTCAACAGATAGTGTTAGGACAGCTAAATAGATAGATATGCACGTGCCAAAGAATGAAATTGGGCCCTTATCTTACACCATATACCCAAATTAACTCAAATGGATTAAAGACTTAACAGTAAGATCTAAAACTATGAAACTCCTACAAGAAAACATAAGGAAAAAGCTTCATGACACTGGACTTGGCAGTGATTTCTTGGAGATAACACCAAAAGCACAGGCAACAAAAGCAAAAATTGACAAATGGTACTATATCAAAGTTAAAAACTTTTATGCATCAAAGGACATAATATACAAACCGAAAAGACAATCTACAGAATGGGAGAAAATCTATGCAAATCATATATCTGATAAGGTGTTAATATTCAGAATGCATAAAGAACTCCTACAACTCAGCAATAAAAAAATCAAATAACCTGATTAAAAAATGGGCAAAGGACTTGAATAGACATTTCTCCAAAGGTGACATACAAGTGGCCATCAAGCATATGAAAAAATGCTTAACATTACTAATTAACAGAGAAATGCAAATCAAAACCACAATGAGATACCAACTCACCCCATTAGGATGGCTACTATTTTTACTTTTTTTTAGAATTTGCATTTCTAACAAGAATGACTACTATTAAAAAAAGAGATAATAAGTGTTGGGGAGGATGTAGAGAAACTGGAACCCTTGTGCACTGGGTTGTAAAATGGCGAAACCACAATGGAAGACAAATTAAAAATAGAACTACTATATGATCCAGCAATCCCACTTCTGGGTATATATCCAAAGAACTGAAAACTGAGTCTCAAAGAGATATTTGCAAACCCACGTTCATAGCAGCACTACTCAAAACAGCCAAGAAGTGGAAGCAACTCAAATTGCCATCAATGGATGAATAAACAAAATGTGGTATGTATGTGTGTGTGTGTATAACTAAGCCTTAAAAAGGAAAGAAATACTGTCACATGCTACAGCAGGAATAAAACTTGAGGACATTATGCAAAGTGACAGAAGCCAGTCATAAAAAGACATACACCGTATGATTCCATTTATATGAGGTAGCTAAAATATTCAAATTTATAGAAATAGAAAGTAGAATCGTTGGTTACCAGGGGTTTTAGGGTGAAGGAAAAGAGGAACTGTTATTTAATGGGTATAGAATTTCAGATCTATTTAACAACAATGTGAATATGCTTAACCTTACCTAACTGTACACTTAAAAATAATCAAGATGGTAAATTTTATGTTATGTTTTTACCACAATAAAGAAAAAGAAAAAGATCACTAGATGGGGAGTCAAAAAACTTGGGTCTTCTAGGCCAGGAATCTTTGCCACTGACTTTCTTAGGTCCATTCCTTTGTCTGGGCCTTGATTTTCCCATCAGTAAAAGAAGACATAAAGGTACCTTATGGCTCTAATATTCTCACTTAACAACTAATTCCATTTTCTCCGATTAGGCATAGAACACTTTAAAGTCAACAGTAACTGCCACTTCAACCTAGAACCTCAGCGGGTCCTCTTTCCAGTAACACTTTCCTTTATGAGCCATTTCTTAAAAGAGATCAGTTCCACTGTCACAGACAGGGCATAATTTCACAAGCCCCTCCCATGCGCACATTGGACTTCATATGCAAATGATAAATTTAAGGTAAAAGAATCTTCAAAGACAGTATCTGCCTGATTACCCTGGGTGTGTCTCATAACTTCTGAGCCTCAGATTGTACACTGTAATATGGGAGAAAAGATCTCCCTTACCTGACAGGATGTTGGAAGGACCAAATAGATCATGCATTATTTTTATCTTTGTAAATTCAAAAGAGGCACAAATTATTATTCTGATCACTGACCTTATGAATGGCAAGAAGATCCTAATTAAATTAAAAATACTGTTAAA